AAAAAAAAAAAAAAAAAAAGGAAGATGATTCAGTGAGCCATCTGTCCAGGAAAGGAACCAAGCCTGAGATTCTGGGAGCATCTAGTGGGTTAAGGATGTGTTCAAAGAAGAGGAAGTTACCTAGGAAGGAGATAGTCAAGGTGGAAGGGTACAGCTAAATGAAAGCACTGTGGTCAAAATAAAGACAATCGTAACCATTCTGAGAATCCCACAGGAGTTGTAAGTTTAGATTATAATGGCAAGCAGAATTATTCTGTATTGATGTGGTGGGGTGTTCCATGGAGGAGGAAGTGGGAAGCACCATGAACCCAAGACAAAACAGCTTGTTGTGGTAGTGATTAGGGAGGGTGAAGGGTGGGAGGCAGGTAAGAAATTGACAGCTATTCAGTAGTGGTAGCATCAACAATATGTAAACGTGGTCTCCCAGGTGGGATTTCTCTTGCATAAGAACTACTCCAAGAATGCAGAGAGAATGGTCTCCCTGGGAGTGGACTTGACACGGAGAACCCAAGTCCAAATCTTTTTCCTCGAATAAGCAGACTCGCTTATCTCCTATTTCCTACTACAAAGGGAGTGAGAGATGGCCCCTCAAAGCCAGCCAGGCAGATTTTTTTTCTCTCTAAAGGGACTTAAGCCACTGTCCATCTTTTAGACAAGTACATGTTTTCCCACAGATCATGAAACAACTAATTGATCTCTATGGAATTCCTTTCTCCCGGTATCCTCAAGCCTAATTGTAAGATCTCCTTAGATCTGTGCGGTCATCCTGAGATTCTAAAAATAAATTAAGGGGTGCCTGGGTAGCTCAGGTGGTTAAGCAGCTGACTCTTGGTTTTGGCTCAGGTCATGATCGGGTCGTGGGATCAAGCCCCGTGTCAGGCTCCACACTTGGCGGGGAGTCTGCTTGGGATTCTCTCTCCCTCCCACTCTGCCTCTTCCCTCACACACACTGTCTCTCTCTCTCAAGTAAGTAAATAAATAAGATCTTAAAAAAAAAAAATGGCTACTTACAGATATATGCAGTGCAGCACTTTTACGTGAGACTATTGAGATTATCAAATAAAGTAACTGTCAATCTCTATTATAAGCCAGACAAATTTACTTCAGAAAATTTTCCATTAAAACACAAACATGCCATCAACAACTAAATTCCTCAAAGCCATTTGCTTCCACCCCCCACCTGAATTCACAGAGATCCCATTTCAAGGAATGCGTGTGACCCAGCACAGGCCAAGAGTAGACAGGTTCCCTTGTCAGTAGAAGATAACACCAATCTGGGGGCCCTTGTATGAAGACTACCTTATCTCTCCCAGCCACCTTTGGGTAGCCGAGAAGTGAGACAGCTCTAGCTCCTGAAGGAGCTCAGGCTAAGCCTTTGCCCACACAGCCCTAGTAAATATTTATTAACACACAGGATGATTTGCCGTATGTTCACATGTTCCAGTCTAACGACATTATTTGGACTTGATGAATCTTCAACATATTCTAATCCTATCCTCTTCTGCAGAAAGGATGGTAAGGAAACCTTTCTGGAGGGCAGCTGGGCACAATTTGCATCAAGAATTTAAAATTGTAGAGGTGCCCGGGTGACTTAGTCGGTTAAGCGTCCGACTCGATTTTGGCTCAGGTCACGATCTCAGGGTTGTGAGATCGGGCTCCACATTGGGCATAGGTTCTCTCCCTCAGGCGTTTCCCGCTCCCCCCAAAATAACTTAAAATTGTAATCCCACTTCCAGTAATTTACTCTAAGGAAATAAACAAAAATGCCATGAGAGATGCATAAAGATGTTCACTGTAATATGTATGTATAATTGTGAAAAAAGGGCACATAAAATGTTGAATATGGAAATGGTATTACCTATATAAGGTATTATACAACTATTCATAATTACATTTCAAATAATATTTAATGGTACAAAGAAATGTTTAAGATATTAAGTAAAATGCAGGATTGAAACTATATACAGTATTGCCCCAATTTTGAAAAAAAAATTATACATTTATACATACAAAAAAGGACTAGAAGGAAACAACTGATGTACATGGAGGAATTAAAATTGACTTTTTCTTATGTTTTTATATGACTTCCAAAATTTTGTGTTTTATGTATGCAATAATCTCTTTAGAGAACCAGAGTCTAAGAGAACCAATATTTGAAATACCCATCATGGTGCAGCCACTGAGCTAAGAATTTTACCAATTATCCAACCGCCAGAGCAACCAGGAGAGGTAGGTCTCGCAGTCCCTGTTTTACAGATGAGGAACAGAGGCTCCACTATGTAGGCGTGGGAGCTCTTTGCCCACGGTACCCTGGATTCGAGCCCAGGACAAGCCCATGTTTCCTGCTGCCCCACATGCCTCCCCTGCTGCGGCTCCTAGTGGGCCCACGGGAGGCTTACAGTGAAGGTCACTGACAAAACAGAGCTGTGCACAGCTTGCCCAAGAGCAAGGCCTTACTTTCTAAACTCTTCCTATCTTCTTCTGAAAGTAGAAACCACCTTCTTTATTGCAAGGCTCCATTCTGAAGCAGCTTTTACCCGTGCCCAGCTCCACTCGCCTATGCCCTCTCAGAGCCTGTGGTATCTGCTGTCCTGCTTATTGGTTTGGCATGGCATCAGGCTGTGAGCAGAAGGACAGGGCAGAGCTGCACACCCCCACCCCTTCCACCAGCTGGCTCCTTGGTCTCTGCCCTGGATACTAAAACAAACAGGCTGTGTGCTCTGGTTCCCTACTCAACCAAGGGGGTGGGGGTTGGGGAGAGCAGCAAATATCCCAGCTATTTGAACAATCAGGAATATCTGGCAGCACATTTGATCTTTTATAACTTTATTTCAGCCAAATAGGGCCTCCAGGCAGCCGGGAGGCCATTGTACCCCTAAGTCTAATGCTCAGCTGGTTCCAGGTATGGCCTTGGTGAGGGGTGCCCAATCCCCTAGCTGGCTCTGTTCCAGAGAAGTCTCCAGTGACACTAATTGCAAACTCTCATGGAGGCAGGGGGGAGTTTCTCTCCACTGTTCCAAGGTTCTTCACTGCTTCCTGTTCCCTCCCAGAGGCAAAGACAGGAAGTCTCTTTGATGGGGTCATGGCAAGTCAGTGACATTCGGGATTGGAACGTGCTGTCTGGATCACCACTTTATCCTCCAGCAACACAGTTCCTGACTAAAACAACAACAACAACAACCTAACTACTTAGGTTCTTTTATCTGGGAAGAGGGAGAAAGGGACATGGGGAATGGCAGGCACATGGCCCCAATAACCTGGCCCTTTTGGATTCAGACCATATCTCTTTCTGCACCCACATAAGAGGACTGCATGTTCAAAAGAGGTGGAGAAATACTGAGTTAAAGTTAAGCAGATTAAATTACTGCAAGACTTCTGGGAACCTTTAATGTGTTCATGTATACCGTCCAGGGGGCGTAATGGAAAGTGTTTCTTAAACATAGTCAACCATGAAACTAATGAGTCCATAGGCACTGAGACTCCAATGAACGTACTTTGACAAGTACTGCTCCAGGGTGAGCCCATAGGGATCCTGTGAAGATATAAAAGTAAGGCCCAAAACAAACCTCCTCCCCAGCCATCAGTCAGTCTTTAACACTGCAGTGCTGGACCAACCAAAGGTATCATTCTGCATTCTCCTCTCTGGACTTCAGCAATGGTTTATGGTATTTTTCCACTTGCTGGTCAAAGCCCCTAGAAGAGAACTGTGCCTGGAAAAAGTTCACTGGAGTCAAAAGGTATTTTAGTGCCAGGCCCCTGAACTCAGGAGCCAGGAGAGGGGCAGCCGTGCTACTGCAAGACAGGAGAGACTCCTGGGCCAGCCAAGCGCTCTGGTTCCCTGTGGCTGCTGAGCCACTGTGGTCTCCCTTGGGTCCCAAGTGGGGCCCTACACCAACTTCCTCCCCAGTTTCTAGAGAAAGAAATTCCTCATCTGTAGACTGTAAGTGCATTGAAAAACTCAAGGGGGTGGGCCGTACAGTCACCATCTTCTGGGACTCAGAGATAGGGACTGCCCCATCCCATTCTTTGTAGCAGAGGTCCGGGGACAACTGTTTCTTGATCTGCAAAGGATGGTGGGAAGCCTTCTTCTCAAGGTCCCCAGAAAGGTTCTCATTCTTGGCCTTCTTTGAGTCCCTGGCAGCTGGAGATTGATCAGCAGTGTCCTGAGAGGAGTCAAACATGACACCCTGGGTTCTCGGCCTCTTTAGCCTCCTTTCTAACAGCCAGAGAAAGCTTGGTTTCCTTGAGGAGGAATTCATATATCGCTGCACAGAGTCCGGGATCAGGGGCACAGAGAGCCTGGGGCTCAGGCTGTCCTGAAAGTAGTCCCTACAGGGCTGCCGACTGACAATGGGCACCACCTGGCAAGGCTTCAGTGCTGCAACAAAGGTCCGGAGCTCCGAGTAGGAGGAATGATCAGAGTAAGGGATGACGTGGATGTCGGGGTGGGAGCGGTGGATCTTCCGGCTTGTGGGAAGGATAGCGATGGTAGGGTGGGTCTGGTTCCAGTGTAGCATGGAAGAATGGCAGATCTCCATATGGTCCACTGCATGGATGCGGCCGGCCTTCTCTTCCACGGTGAACACATCCGCCAGGCCCAGCAGCTGCACCAACTCCAGGCGCCGAGGGCTCAATACCACCCAGGTCTGAAACTCCAGGGCCAGCTGCTCCAGAAGTGACTCTTTTCCCAGGCTATAGAGTCCTGAATCATGTTAAAGGGAATGGGAAAAGCAAGGGATGAAAGACAGGAGATACTGGGGAATCCTAATACATCAACCAAATGTTTGACAAAAATACACAAATGGGGCAACTGGGGAGTGTATCAGGGAGGAGGTGGCATTTGAGCTGAAATACATGGAGGTTGGGGGAGGGCTTAACACCGAATCCACCCACTCGTTGGGTTCAACAAAGGAAAGCATCTACCAGGTGTCAGGCACTGTGAAAATAAGCATAAGCCTCAGTCTTCAAGGAGTGCAGTCTACATGGGGACCCAGAAGCAAAGTCAGAGACATGCACATAGTATTATGAGGGCACAGAAAAGTATCTACCGGTTGACAGAGTTAGGGAAACTTCCCTAAAAATGGCAACTGAGTTGTCATAAAAGATAAAGGATGGGTCTGAGTTTACCTGGCAAGGGAAGGGGATGGTTCGGTGTTACTAAAGTGCAAAAAAGGAACTAGTAATAAATGACATAGGAGAGGTAAGGGTCGTATTATACAGGGCCCATATATACTGCTAAGGAGTTTGAACTTATTTCTGTAAGTGAAGGGGAGCCATTAAAGAGTGTGCAGCAGGAAAATGGCTCATTTTAATCACAGGAATAATATGATCAGAGGAGCGCTTTAGAAGAAAAAAATAGCAGGAGTGTTACTGATCACCTGGATGAGGAGATGCTGAAATCAGAAGTACCAGTTAGAAGGCCCCAAAATGAGGGCGCCTGGGTGGCTCAGTTGGTTAAGCATCTGACTCTTGATCGGCTTAGGTCATGACCTCAGGGTTCTGAGATCAAGCCCCACATTGGGCTCCATGCTCAGCATGGAGTCTGCTTGAGATTCTCTCTCCCTCTGCCCTTCCCCTTATTCATGTGTGCTCACACCCTCTCTCTCAATAAAATTAAAAAAAAAAAAAGGCCCCAAAATGTTTTACACTATTGTGGAGTCGCAAGAATATACAGTTGGTTTCTCAATGTGTCTGATTTTAAGCACAGCATTCACTTGAATATCTACATTCTGATAAATTCCATTCACTCAGGGACGCCTGGGTGGCTCAGTTGGTTAAGTGTCTGCCTTTAGCTCAGGTCGTGATCTCAGGATCCTGGGACTGAGCCCCGCATTGGGCTCCTTGCTCAGCAGGGAGCCTGCTTCTCCCTCTGCCTGCCACTCCCCCTGCTTGTGCTCACTCTCTCTGACAAAGAAATAAAATCTTAAAAAAAAAAAATTTCATTCACTCAGATAACATATTTATTGAGTGCCTCCTCAGGCATTAATCTAAGCATTTGGGATATATCCACAAGTAACAAAAAGAGCCCTGCCATTGTGGAACTTACATTGATTCTAGCAGGGGTAGACAGATAATAAAAACCAAAAACAACAATATGTAAATTGTGGAATACATTATAAGATGATGAATGCAATATTGGCCCTCTCCTATTTAAAAACCTTCAATAGCTTTTTGTCCAAATGTAACCATTTGGATCAAGTTACATTTAAGAATTACATTTAGGACCAAGTTCAAGCTTACAAGCAAGCACTTCAGCCCCTCCTCCCGTTACAGCCTCCTCACCCACTGTGTGCCTGTCATGCTGCTACTTCTCTGTTCCACAAGCAAGACTCCTTCCTACCTCCATCCATGCTCTCAAGGAGTCTGTGTGTATGGCAGGACACGTGGAGAACAGACAAATAATAAGCAATAGCATATTAAAACATAGACAGAATATACTGGAAGGTAATAAGCACTATTAAAGAATGAAAAAGTTGAGTTGGTATAGGGGATCAGGAGTTGGGAATGTCAGAGTAGAGATGATAGGAAGACTGCATTTTTTTAAAAAAGATTTATTTAGAGAGAGCACGCACGGGGGTGAGGGGAGTGCTGGGCGACTGGGAGGGGCAGGGGGAGAGAGAGACTCTTAAGCAGACTGGGAGCTTAGCATGGAGCCCTAGGCAGGGCTTGATCTCACGACCCTGAGATCAAGACCCGAGCCAAAACCAAGAGTCAGAGGCTTAACGGACTGAGCCACCCAAGCACCCCGGGAAGACTGCAATTTTAAATAAGGTTTCATGGAGAAGGGGGGATCTACAAAGACCTGAAAGATATGAGAAACCCCCCCCAAAACCCAAGATTCACTAGCTATGGGTAAAAGAAAAAGGAAAGGAAACCACTTACCAATCTTTATGTTATGTTGTGGGTGCTTTCGAATGAGCTCAACAATCTGGCGGGCAGCTTCTTGTCGGGAAGGAAGAACCCAGGCTGGGTTGCAATTGGTGTTGTCTAGGTATAAGGTATGGATCTGTTTCCCCAGTTTCAGGGCTGGCTCCTTTAACATGGATGGTGTATACCGAAAGTCACCTAGAAGAAGAGTATATGGGGTGATGGGGGGCAGAGAGTCAGAGACAAAAGTATGAAACACAAGCTTCTCCCGGCTTCCAATAGCTGATGGAAATTTGCTTACCAGCCTGTGAAAAAACTAAACAGGAAGTCTGGCATTAACATAGTATAGCTTCTTTTCGGAAAGGTCTCCGTTCTGCTTCTGTTTTTATTATTCTTAATAAGGTTTGAAACCTTAAAGAGTGGGAAATCAGTTGAGAAAGGGTCACTGTGGTCATATGGGATGAAGCTAGGAGGCCTCCAGACTTCTGAGTTAAGACTGCTCAAGAAAAGTAGTATCTAGGCTGGGAAGGTGGGAGCGACCCCTTGGAAGGCCCACCTGTGTAGAGAATGGTTCCAAAGTATCCTTCAAAGAGAAACATGACAGAGCCAGGGCAGTGATTGGCATCCATGAGGGTTACAGTCATGGTCTCTCGCCCAATTTCATCTAGAGGCAGGACATGGCTCTCACCAACCTCCAAGGCCCGGATCCACTCCTTAGGTACCTGAGGAAAAAGTTGGTCATTCTAGTGAACACAGAATCTCCTCCTTGATACTGCCCTGGATCAGGAACTAACCCTTTACCAGAATCAGGGGAAGCAGACGACATCCTAAGCCACCCTGGAGCAGAAGGTATAATGGAGAGTCCCCTCAAATCCTCCCTTCTTCCTCCCACTCTCCCCTCCCACCCTTTGTACAATGTAAATTAAGAGTCTAAAAAACAGTCTAGCCAAGCAATTCTCAAACCTTCCTGATAATAATCCCTTGGGGACACCCGTTAAAAAAACTTCCAACCAGATTTCCAGGACCTGCACCAGCTAGATCTACTTTGGGGGGGGGGTTGGGGGGGAGGGGGCGGTGGCCGCTGGAGAATGTGTCAACCCAGCACATTAGATGGATTCTTAGGACACTAGGGAAACACTGGCCTAGTTTATCTGACAAGGTAGCTAGTTTCCTTGGCTGAAAGATCTCCCCAACTTATAGCTGAAACTTCCCAAGTGGGCCAACCAAGAAGCCACATTCCCATTCTGGGCTAAAGACGCATTTCTGGGTTCGAACAACTCCCGCATTTGTAAAAATCAGTCCTCCTGGCCCCTACTCTGGAGTCCGAGGCTGTGACAGATCGGAAATCCCACCCAATGCTCGACCCAGCTCTCGGAGGACTCCGGCCCCCCGTACCTGTAGGTGACGATGCACGAGGTAAGCGGTGATTGGGGAGCAGTAGAGGGGCCGGGCCCAGGTGCTAGACAAACCCACGGTGTGGTCCGAGTGCATGTGGGACAAAAAGAAGAGCCGCGCGGAACCAGCCCGGCGCAGGCTCCAAAAGTCCACAGCGATGGGCGTATGGGGGATCAGGGCCCCATTCATGGTGGCGGGGCTGGAGAGTCACGAGCGGGATCTTCATGGGCACAGAGCTCCCGCGCAAGGCTCCCGCAACCGCGCCCTGAAGAGAAGTCACGCTGGGGCAACGCGGCCAGAGACCCTAACCGGAAGCCAGGCCAGTAGAGGAGTAGTCCCTAGCGTGGGCAGAAAGAAGGAAGTGGCCGTACTCTTGGGAGTCCTGGGGGGAATAGCAAACCGCGGAAGACGCTCAGCTGAGCGCCACTCCTACCCGCGCGCGGGAGCCGGGGCTGAGGCCGGGCACTCAAAGCGCGCGCTGCTGGGCGGAGACAGGCCGAAGCAGCGGATTTCCGATGGCCCGCCGCGCCTCCACCAGAGGGAGCCGCGCGGCTGCGCCTGGAGGTGAGAGGTGGGGGAAGGGCGCCCTAAGGTCGGCGTCCGGGCGACGCTCGGCGCTCGCGGCGAGAAGGTGAGTGGCAGCTGCTGTGCGCGGTCGGCCCCGAGGAGGCGGGACTTCCGCAGAAAGCTTGATTGGGCCTATCGGGGTGGGCAACCGGGCGGAGGCGCACGGAGGGCTGGAACTGGCGAGGGAGGGGTCTGCGGACCTTCGGCGGCGGGGCTGGAAATGCGGCGAAGGGCCTCGAGGTAGCCGGAGCGGTCTCAGGCGGAGCGAGCCGGCCTGCAGGTCCCGGGAAGGAACCACAGAGCCTCGTTTGGGGCTCGCCGGGGCGCCGAGAGGGTTGGTGTGAGTGTGCTGGGGCCTGGCGAGACTGGGGCGAGATCCCGCCTTTGGTCTCTTCGCTGACTGACATTTGCTTTACCCAGGTTCCCCCGTCAGGGCTAGGAGGAGCCCGCGAGTTACCTAGGGGTCTGTGGGGCTGCCCCGTGGCCGTTGAAGATGCCGTACCTTGGCTCCGAGGACGTGGTGAAGGAGCTGAAGAAAGCTCTGTGTAACCCTCACGTTCAGGCGGATAGGCTGCGCTACCGGAATGTCATCCAGCGAGTGATTAGGTATCAGCTACCGCCCAAACTCCCCGCCGCAGCCCCCATCCGGGCCCTCTACCCGTGGCCGCTCGGAAAGAGCCAATGAACTCAGGGCAGGGTATGATTTGGCCTTCCTACTTCTCCGGATGGCCACCGCAGCCTCCCCTGGGGGACTTGCTTGACTTGGTTTACTCAGCAGGGTGGTTACACCCATGTCTTGACCCTAACACTGCTGACTCCCAGATCTATAGAGTCTAGTACAGAAAGCCTTTTGTATCTTCAAACCCACATATCCTCCTGCCTGCTGGGCATTCCCACCTGGACATTTCTTCAAAGACATGCAAAATAGCACCTGCATCCTTCCCCTCTCCCCAAACCTGCTCTTCCGCTTATGTTTGGGTTGAGGAATGTCACCATCCAGCTGACCAAGGGAGGGAGTCCATCTTGATGACGCCTGATTTTCACTTCTCAAGTCAGATGGTATGGATATATAGTTCTAAATATCCATCCTCTTTTTTTTTTTTTTTTTTAAGAAAATGTCTATTTCTTTTTTGTTGGCACCGCTATTCTGGTTTTATTAGCAAAGCAATTGCAGTGGCTTACTAGTAGGTCAGACCTTGCCTCTTCATTTTAGTCAGAAGTTTCCTAACATGAATTTAAAGGTATGACTCTTGGCTGCAGTTGTGGATAACAAACGTTAGTATGCACAAAAGTCCCTTGGGGTGCTTTTAAGAAAAAAAAAGTGTAAAATTTTCATCCAATCCAGTAATGCTGCTTTCGGGAGGGTGGGATGGAACCCAGCAATATGCATTTTAAACAGATATCCCATCTGATTCCTGTAGGAGACCACAGTTTGAGAAACAGTGATCTACAGAATGAAGTCCAAACTTCTTACCATAGCACCCAAAGAACACCCTGCTAACACAACTACTTGCATACTCTCAAAAGAATGTAGCATTCTTGCTGACGTCTACGTGCCTCAAAGCATGTGTTACCTACCTACTACACCTGCCTGGAAAATTCCAGCTCATTCAACTAAAGTATTACTTCCTCTTTGGAAACGTTTTATGATTTCTTGGCAGTATTAGACTTCTGGGTCCCCATCGCACCTTGTCTGTTAACTTCTTTTTTTTAATATTTATTAATTATTTGAGAGAGAGTGGGGAGAGAGGGAGAGAGAATCTCAAGCAGACCCCATGCTGAGTGCAGAGCCGATACGGAGCTTGAACTCACAACCCTGAGATCATGACCTGAGCTGAAACCAAGAGTCAGATGCTTAACCCACTGAGCTACCCAGGTGCCCCAACTTTGTTACTTCTGTTTTAACGCTTACCTATTTTAATACTTACCTTTTGTACTGTAATTAGTGGTGTTTTTGTCTTGCTCCTTAGTTATACTTTGAGTTCCTAAAGATCTGAGACCATGCCTTCTTCAAGATTATGGCCCCAGAAGGGCACCTGGGTGGCTCAGTTGGTTAATCGTCTGCCTTCAGCTCAGGTCATGATCTCAGGGTCCTGGGATCGAATCCCTGCATCAGGCTTCCTGCTCCGCAGGGAGCCAGCTTCTCCCTCTGCCTGCTGCTCTCCCTGCCTGTGCATGTTCTTTCTCTCTCTCTGATAAATAACATAAAAAAAAAAAAAAACTTAACAAAAAAAATAAAAATTACGTCCCCAGAGCATATCTCTGGAATGTAGAAGCTGAATTAGACTGGAATGTACCAGGAATTCAATAAGTGTTTGTTGAATGAATAGAAAAATGTTTATCGTAGGCCCATGGTGTGAAGTATTGTGCAGTATAATAGACAAGGTGGACTTGGTTGCTTCCTTCACAATCTAGTTGGATCACCGGGATGTGTATAGGTAAAATGCCTCTCATTGTAGGCTGGGAATTATGTATTTTACTTCTCCTGCTATGTGTGTTGGTTTCAGGCACATGACTCAGGGCTTGGACATGTCTGGTGTTTTCATGGAAATGGTGAAGGCCAGTGCCACCGTAGATATTGTTCAGAAGAAGTTGGTTTATCTGTACATGTGTACATACGCCCCCCTGAAACCAGATCTGGCTCTCTTGGCCATTAATACGTTGTGCAAAGACTGTTCGGATCCCAATCCAATGGTTCGAGGGCTGGCGTTACGGAGCATGTGTAGCCTCAGGTGAGTACCCTCTTCCCTGACTGTTTATCAGTGGCTGAGGTATTCAGGAGACCCTGGGGCAGGTCTTCAATGGTGAGGTTCTTAATACTAGGGAAAATGCAGTTGTAACCTGAACTCAGGTTTTCATCCATTGCTTAGGCTTAAAAAACTATGTCATGTGGTTACATTAAAGGGAGTTTTCCATCTTCACTCTTGCTGAAATAGTTCTGGGTTTTGGTTAATGATTTGTAAACAATCGTGTAGATACATGGTTTTGCTGCCCCTGGAGTATTAGTCCAAATGAAAAGTCAAGTATGACTTTAAGTGTGGCAGTGGCTTTCCCTAATTCTTTACGATGTGGTAGATGTACATTCAAACATCTACTGAACTTTCTGTTAAGTGAATAGAGGCTGAATTAAGTCAAAACTAGTATTTCAGGATCTGGCTGACTCTAGGATGTGTTGCTTAGGATGCCTGGTGTGCAGGAATATATCCAACAGCCTATTCTCAACGGTCTGCGAGATAAAGCTTCATATGTCAGAAGGGTGGCAGTCCTTGGTTGTGCCAAGATGCATAATCTTCATGGAGACTCTGAAGTGGGTAAGTTCCAGTATAATCCATCATGATCAGTATTTATTTGTGCCTCCGTTACATGTTTGACTTTGTAAAAGATGACATGACTTTGGTAGGAAATAGTAATGTCGCCCTACTTCTGTACTTGTCTCTTTAGAAAGGCTGGTGTGGTATTTTTTGAGATCAGAGAAGCCTTTTCTTTGGGGCCCAGGTGAGATCCGTTACATTAGCTACTTAGAATAGTTTGGAGATGGCAATTTTTTGCCTTTCACTTTATTATTGCCTTTGTTATTTTTGTAGCAGAGAAGTTCAGCTTTGTCTGCCTGGAGCTAGTACTCAGCTCTATTCCTGAGACTCAAGTTGTTCTTTCTCTGAGATCTTCGTGCTTTTTTATAGACGGTGCTCTGGTAAATGAATTATACAGTTTGCTGCGTGACCAGGATCCAATTGTGGTTGTGAACTGCCTGAGGTCTCTAGAGGAAATTCTGAAACAGGAAGGAGGTGTTGTCATCAACAAGCCCATCGCCCACCATCTCTTAAATCGGTTTGGATGCCTCGGTGCTCTTTTTGTTATGATGAGATCTGCATCCTAGTGGGATCTTGACATGTTGAATTAAGGAGACGTCTTGAACAATTTCTGTAGAGTAGTAAAGTTAACCATAACTATTAACCTCTTCATATTTTATTGAGAGGATTCTTTTATTTGTCTTAGTTTCTTTCGGTGATATAGAGAGATGGCAGAAATATTCTGTGGAAATAGGTTCTGTCCTCTTCTACAATCGTTATGTCCCCCAAACTAAGCGATTTATACTGTCTTAAACTGTAAAGAATCTGTATCTAGGTATAGTGATCATGGTCCTTGGCCTTAGATCATGAGAATTTGTAGTGTAAAATCTCGGAATTTAAAGCCTATTTTGTGTAAACTTTAAATAGTACATGAAAAGAGTAATTCTATTATGGCATAGCCTGTTTTCCAGAATTCTCCTTGTTATGATGAACAGATGACTGGTGACATGGCTTTTGCATGCAAATGGTCCTAATTTGGTTGCTAAAATAACACTTTTCTTTTCTTTTTTGGTTAGAATGCCAAAACTGGACCAATGGGGCCAGGCTGAAGTGTTGAACTTTCTGCTACGCTATCAACCGCGCAGTGAGGAGGAGCTGTTTGACATTCTCAATCTGTTAGATAGCTTTCTCAAGAGCAGTAGCCCCGGTGTGGTGATGGGAGCCACGAAACTCTTTCTGATCTTGGCAAAAAAATTCCCCCATGTACAGACTGATGTGCTTGTGCAAGTCAAGGGCCCTTTGCTGGCTGCATGTTCTTCAGAGAGCCGCGAGCTCTGTTTTGCTGCCCTGTGTCATGTGCGTCAGATCTTGCATAGTTTGCCCGGTCACTTTAGCAGCCACTACAAAAAGTTTTTTTGCTCCTACTCGGAGCCCCACTACATCAAGCTGCAGAAGGTGGAGGTGCTCTGCGAGCTGGTGAACGATGAGAACGTACAGCAGGTGCTAGAGGAGCTCCGAGGGTACTGCACTGACGTGTCAGCCGACTTTGCCCAGGCTGCCATCTTTGCCATAGGTAGGGGTCTGCTGCTTTTCCTTTTGGAGACCTTCGACTAACCATGAATCTGTGGGATCATAGCAAACAAAAGGGAATGAATCTTGCATCAGAGACCAATTACCATGCACCAAAGAATGGGGTCAGTGGCCACAGACAGGAGTGGGGAGGGAGGTGTTTTGTTTTGTTTTGTTTTGTCAACACTGGTGTTACCGTATCTTCTAGGATAGAGAATACAGGTAACTCAAACTAGAGTACTTAAAATTTATATGGCCTTTTGTTGGCTACTATCCAGAATGCTTTCCCATATATCATCTTAGCACAGTCTTTGGAGGCAGTCTGGAGAAGCGGACAAGTGTTACCACCTCATTTTAGAGATGAAGAAACTCAAAGAAAAAGGTTATTAAGTGGCCAAAAGGTCATGTAGTTTTTGACCCAGGGTCAGAACCCGGCTTTCTAGACTCGAAGTCCTGTGACAATTGACCAGTTGTTTATTGAGCTTCTGCTATGGGGTATATATTGTGCTGAGTACAGACCAACACAGAATAAATCCTAAATCTTACAGGCTTTTTCGTATTACTCTGGGATTCAGAAGGCCAGAGTGACTCACAAAATGAAAGCAGCCAGGGAGTAATATTTTGTTGGAGGGCTTCAAGTGGAAGAGGAGAAGGAAGCCTTATATTAGAATAAAGAGTGATTATTTTCAGGGTCAGGAAGAGCAAACAAAGAGGAGAGCAGAGCTCCTGCGGTCAGGTGTTCCTGCAGGGACATTGCTGCGAGGTGCTCTGCAGCCAGTGGTGCCTTGAGGCCTCGTATCTGGCTGCCACATACATACCTTTGTTACTGAAAGTTTTCCACCTTGTTCAATGGAAAATTCACTTTTACCAAACTTAGGAAACTTAAATTGTTATTTCATCAAGCAAGGGGTGATTTTTTTTTCTTTTTTTTTTTTTTAAAGGTATCCCTGGTCTTCTCTGTCTTTGGCTGGTGGGAAGTTTTTTTTAAATGGGGTGCTAGGATTTGGACTTACCACTTTTTTCTGCTTTCTCTTCCTCTGTAGGTGGTATTGCCAGGACCTACACAGATCAGTGCGTGCAGATTCTAACAGAGTTGCTGGGGCTTCGGCAAGAGCACATTACCACAGGTAATGGCTGGCTATCCTTTGAGGATTTGTATTTATTTATTTTTATTTATTTTTTTGTCAATTGCCTCTCCTATAACTGTTGCTCAAAAAATATTTGTTGTTGATTAACAGAGGTTTAAACTTTTCTTTGCATCCTCATCTGTTGCCATCAGAGAAGCATAGGGTCTATAGATCTAACAGGTAGAGGGTCTTCTGGTTGCCATAACTCTGCCAGGCTGTTCTGTAGATAATGAAGACTACCAGAATGCCTGTGCTTGTTAACTCCCCACCTTTACCCCTCTTTCTGCTTTATGGCAGCAGTGGCTTCCAGGGCTGGGACTAGGGCAAGGCAAGCAAGGTGCCCAAGATGCAAAAATTTAAAGAGGCACTCACTATCAGGTTCATGCAGGTGCTAACCCTGCATGTCTTAGATTTTACACCCACAGCACCTCGTTTGCCCTACCCTAGTCCCAGCAGTGGTGGCTCCATTTATACCGTCTTCAGAATATCAGTCAATAATAACATGACCTCACATTTGCTTTACATTTTACCATGTGCTTTTGCATGTATGAGCTCATTTGTCCTCATAGCCAATCCAAGAAGAGCAACATCCATTTAAGAAATTATTGCCCGTGTCAGACATTTCTCAGATAATCATGGACCACCCCTCCAACACCCATTTTACAGAAATTCACGTAGCAATCTAGTCTGAATCTGTGACTTCTCTTAAGATTCCTTCCTGCGTGGAGCCTCTAATCCTGTGCTCTTGTATCCTGAGCTGTGTTGTAGTGGTGGTGCAAACTTTCCGAGACCTGGTTTGGTTGTGTCCTCAGTGTACGGAAGCTGTGTGTCAGGCCCTGCCCGGCTGTGAGGAGAACATTCAAGACAGCGAGGTAGATGGCAATTCTCCTTTACCTCCAGGCAGAGGGGAAATGCTTGGGACCCTGCTCTGTGAAATGGAATCTAATTCTTCTCTACCCGGTGTCTGAATGTGGAAATTCTTAGAATTGATTGCCACCTCAGATTCTCTTTTGGGTGTAGTTAGGATAGAAGTGATAAAAACATGAGATTTATCTATGATTTTTATTACAAATGCTTTGATATCATTGTTTTCTTGAACAGTTTTAAGCCAGAGATTTAGACCATGGAGTTTTTAGCTGGAATGAGAATCAGGATCGTTTTTGCATATTTGGGCTTCACTGCAGGCCCACCGACTTAAATATGCAGGAGTGATAGACCTAGACACATAGATTTTTAAGAAACTTCACAGACGACTCCGATTTGCACTCTAGGTTAATTACCACTTTCATGAAGTGGTTTAGAGGAATCTTTGAGTCGCTTCCACTGACACATTAAACCCCAGACTGGGGCAGAGGCCCCCAAACTGAGGAACGCTTATTTCTTAACCAACACAGGCTTTGGGAGTCTTGAGTCTCCTTTTGTGTAGTAACATTTTATTCCTGTTTGTTGTAGAGAGTGGAGTCGGGGTGTGGGGGATTGATAACAGTGCCAGTTGAAGTAAACAAAAGATTATACCTTTCCTGCTCATGTTGGGGGGAAGCAAAACCTGCCACTGTGTTTGGGACAGCCAAATGTCGAGCACCTGCTCTTACTCCTTCATTCCCGAGGGGAAACAGGCGCTTATTTGGCTCCTTGGCGTCCATGGGGAAAGAATCCCCAATGCTCCCTATGTGTTGGAAGACTTTGTGGAGAATGTGAAATCAGAGACCTTTCCAGCTGTGAAGATGGAGCTACTCACTGCACTGCTGCGCCTTTTCCTCTCCCGACCTGCCGAGTGCCAGGACATGCTGGGGCGTCTGTTACATTACTGCATAGGTAGGTTCTTCAGAAGGAAACTGTACTTGCCCTGTCAGATAGTAAACATTCTGAGAGCTGACACTGTTTGGTGAGTCGTCTCGGGGACCCAAGAAGACAATGTTAATGTTCTCTAGGGTTTCCTCCCTCCTTCCCTTCTTTTTTTTTTTTTTTTCCCTATTGCGGTTGGCACAGGGTAGAAAGAGTGTTTTTGGTTTTGTTTGTAATTAACTCAGTCTTTGTCTTACCACAGAGGAAGAAAAGGATATGGCAGTACGAGACCGGGGTCTCTTTTATTATCGACTTCTCTTAGCTGGCATTGATGAAGTGAAGCGGATCCTGTGTAGCCCTAAATCTGACCCTTCTCTCGGACTTTTGGAGGATCAGGCAGAAAGACCTGTGAATAGCTGGGCCTCAGACTTCAACACTCTGGTTCCAGTCTATGGCAAAGCCCGCTGGGCAACCATCTCTAAATACCAGGGGGCGGAGCGTCGGGGCCCAGAGCTTCCTAACACTGCATCCTTTGCCACTCCAGGTAAAAATAGTCCTTACTTTATGTCATGTCATGAAAAACCTTTACCTTTTGCAATGACTGTTAGAAAGTAGAGTACCCTAGCTACGTCTCAGACTATTGCGTGAATTTGAAGTCTTCATGAGCAAGAAAGAATATCTTCATTGGCTATTTCAATCATTTATCCAAGGATAGAAGGCACGTTGTGTACGTATGGAAATCTAGTTAAAATCATAGTTCGGGGGCATCTGGGTGGCTCAGTCGGTTCGGCCCTGGTCACGATCCCAGGGTCCTGGGATCGAGTCCCTGCACTGGGCTCCCTGCTTAGCCGGGAGTCTCCTTCTCCCTCTGCTGCTCCCCTTGCTCACATGCTCTCTCTCTCTCTCAAATAAGTAAATAAAATCTTTTTAAAAAAAAACATAACTGGTATAGATTAAGAAGGTCTCTTACGCGAGGTTTCTAACTCTTTTAGGTCCCCTGATTCCTGAAGAGAGCAAGGAGACAGTACAGGAACTTCCTGATTCTGAAGTCCTCATGCTAGTCCCCAGTTGCCAGCTGACTGCTGAGGATTTTGAGAAAACTTGGTTTAGCCTGAAAGTTGCTCATCAGCAAGTGTTCCCTTGGCGGGGAGCCATCCATCCTGACACCCTCCAGATGGCCCTGCAGGTAGTGAACATCCAGACCATCGCAATGAGTAGGGCGGGGGCTCACCCGTGGAAAGCCTACCTCTGTGCCCAGGATGACACTGGCTGCCTGTTCCTAACGGAACTGCTCTTGGAGCCCGAGAGCTCAGAAATGCAGATCTCTGTGAAACAAAATGAGCCGAGGACTGAGACCCTGAACAGTTTTATTTCTGTATTAGAAACTGTGCTTGGAACAATTGGAGACATAAAATCATAACAGATTCTTGCTGCCTGTTCTAAGTGAGATGAGTAGCTATCAGAGTTCCTAGTTTTTCTTACTAGAATTTGCTTGTAAGTCCAGATACTATCAAATGCAAAGGAGAATGGACAGTCTCAGAATCAGGATTCTTATGTTTTTGTCCAAAGATTATTGACTTATTCCTGTCATACCTATAGATGAATGACCCCATTTTCCAGGTGATGTTGAAAAGGTTAATGTTGGAAAGGGGTGGGGAGGGGGTGAGGGAGGATAGGAATTGGATTCTTTTCTAATCCGTTTTAGGGATTGTTTTACTAATTAAAGATGCCTGATGTTTATGGAAACTGATGAAGTCATCATTTGTGGGGGTCATCTTTTCTTCCCTGTATTACTGCAATAAATTCCTCACTGGTCTCTTTCTAATCATGCTTTTCAAGGCCAGAGTCCAAAGTCTTAGTGCGGCATCAGAAGTAACTCTTCAGTGTCCTGTCTCACCGCTCGCCTAAACACCCTGTTCTTGCATAAGCAAACCACTCGGCATTCCTTGAATGCACAAGGCTCTCTCTCACCTCTGTGCTTTGCTCCTGCTTTTATTTCTTGGCTAGAACATTTCCTCACCCTCCTATCTTCTTTAGGTAACATCTAGTCCTTGTCTTTCAGCGTTCTGCTCAGTCAGGAGCTCTTGCAGGAATTTTTCTGTGATCCTTGATGCTTTCATTATGGGTCCTGTTCAGGCTTTCACGCCCTCCAGTGCATGTGTCTAGCAGTACTGTTGTAATTGTTTTCTGTCACTCTTCCTTGCTTTCAATTTTATTCATACCTGCCCATATTATATACATTAACTGACGCAACTTATGGCAAGAGCAGATGTAATAAAATGGTTTAAATATATATAGTAAAGTATAAATAACCAGAGGATCCACAACAGGGAAAATGGAAATACCACCTCAGACCAGCTTGGTTGGGGATGGGGAAGTACACAAATGTTCAGGCTTAAGGGCCTACATAATTGGTACAGTTGAGCCTCAAATTTAGCTAAGTGATTTGGTAGTCAGGGTGAAGAGAAATAGGTGTATAGATGTCATCAGAGAGGAAGAAACCTTCCAATATTAATTTCTAAAAGAAATTCACAGGTAGTTTCACATAGGAGACACTGAGGGATAAGTATGAGATTCTTAGGGGAAGTTAGTGACGGATTTCTCATGACTTACGGTGTTCTTCAATGAAAGCAGAGAGCATAACTTTAACATGAAGCTTAGGGAGGGCATTTCTTCAAGGACTTAACACGATTCAAATATCATCTAGCTTAATTCAAGGACTTTGACCACATAAATATGTAAATGGACTGCATACCTTTAAAAATTTTTTTTATCCATCACTTCTCTCAACTAGGCTCTTAATAGGAGTAGATAACAGACAGCATTGAATTTTCTGGCAAGGGCCTGGATTTTGTGAGTTGATTTCCCCCTGGACAACTTCTAAGGATGGTGATGTTCTTTCCTTCCATCTCCACAGTCTGCCACATAGTGATGACTCAATAAATATTTACCAAATGAGTGGCTGTCAGTAATTAGATTCTGATGGTGTTTTGGGGTTGATGTTTGAAGTGTGTGTTTTGCTATCTTGTATCAACCAAACAACAGTGGAAGTCCACCTAGACTAGGGTTTCTCAAAGTGGCATTACTGACATTTGGGGCCAGATAATTCTTTGTTGTGGAGGGTTTTCCTGTGCACTGTAGGATGACTATTAGCAGCATCTTTGGCCTAAACCCACTAGATGCCAATAGAACCCCCAGTCATAATAAAAATGTCTCCAGACATTGCCAAAAGTGCCTTGGTGGGACAAAATCGCTCCTCATTGAGAATGAGCTAGATCATGGGTCCCCAGGGATTACATGTAGAGAGATCAAAACAGCTTCAGAATTGCTTTTTCCATAGTTTGACTTGTTCGGTTAAGCCATGAGTGTTTAATTAGGTGCTAAAAGAAATAAAATGGAAGTGTAAAGTGCTGCCAATTTACAGTGTTATAAGGGAACAGGATAAATATGGTAAAGATTAAGTAAACTGATGGACTTTTTTTAAAAATTAAAGACTATAATTGAAATGTTGACCTAAAGAAAATTAGGTATGGCTCAATAATTGAATAAATGTTACTAAAATGATCCTAGCTATTGGAGCTTTAAAAAGATTAAGTCCTACTTGGTTGCTTCTCTGTAATATATGGGGCATAGCAGAATACGAAACTGTTGCTTTTGAAAAAGTATACTTTTAAAATCTCAAGGAAGAAATGATTTCTCGTAACTGTAGCCTGATTTTGCTAATTTATAAGCAAAATGACTAAAGCTTAAGTATACCATGAAGTTAATTATATTTCTTCTCCCTAAGAGGTCTCTCTAGCCTTGGCAGACATATGGTTTGATGATGTGATATAAGTAGATGCATATTTTTAAAAATCCTTGAGTATAGTTGATATTGTGCTTTTAGAAAAATGGCTTTCTAATGTCTGTCTTGTTGGGAAATAGTATGTATTTCACATGTAACGGGTGCCCACTGACGACCATGGCGCTTTAGAACATTGCAGAGGCAACCATTTATGTAGTTCCTGACCATAATCTTATTGCCATGGACTAGTGGCTATTAAATGCCTCCGTTTCTCCCACCCCCCTTTTTGAATGGGAGTTCTATTACCATTATTCTATCCCTTTCTCATATATTGGGTGTTCAGGGGAGGGGAGACAAAGAACTTACTTTCTCAGTTATAGATTTACACATTGAGAGGAGCTGTACCTAAGATCCTCATTCACAGGCAGACCTGGTGCAGATGACAAAACCCTAGACTTTGAGCCAATGATAAAAGGTGATGAGGCTTTTGAGAGAAGGATGTAAATTGTGGCCAGAGCAGGAAAAGAAGCAAGTGATGGTGAAAACATAGTGGCCTCATTTTTCAGTAATAACTGGGAGACAGAACTTGAACTGCAAGAGTGAGGGTTATGTGAGCTATGGGAGAAGGGATGGGATGGTTTGGGAAGATGCTATAATGAAGCCTCAAGAAGAAATACACAAAGGAGGAAACTACCCTACATTGTCCAAGAGAAGGTATACTCCATTTCCTTAGCCTTACAACATTGATTCTACAAGATAATGGAGGATAAGATAGGGCAAAGATTAGATTCCAAAGCAGAAAAGAATGTCCCATGGGAAAAAGACAGTCTCTTCAACAAATGGTGTTGAGAAGATTGGACAGCCACATGCAAAGAATGAAACAGGACCATTTCCTTACACCACACACAAAAATAGACTCAGAATGGATGAAAGGCCTAAATGTGAGAAAGGAATCCATCAAAATCTTTGAGGAGAACACAGGCAGCAACCTCTTCGACCTCAGCCGCAGCAACTTCTTCCTAGAAACATGGCCAAAGGCAAGGGAAGCAAGGGCAAAAATGAACTATTGGGACTTCATCAAGATAAAAAGCCTTTGCACAGCCAAGGAAACAGTCAACAAAGCCAAAAGACAACCGGCAGAATGGGAAAAGATATTTGCAAATGACATATCAGATAAAGGGCTAGTATCCGAAATTTATAAAGAACTTACCAAACTCAACACCCAAAGAACAAATAATCCAATCAAGAAATGGGCAGAAGACATGAACAGGCATTTCTGCAAAGAAAACATCCAAATAGCCAACAGACACACGAAAAAGTGCTCAACATCATTTGGCATCAGGGAAATCCAAATCGAAACCTCAATGAGATACCACCTCACACCGGTCAGATGGCTAAAATTAACAAGTCAGGAAATGACAGATGTTGGCGAGGATGTGGAGAAAGGGGAACCCTCCTACACTGTTGGTGGGAATGCAAGCTGGTGCAGCCGCTCTGGAAAACAGTATGGAGGTTCCTCAAAAAGTTGAAAATAGAGCTACCCTAGCAATTGCACTACTGGGTATTTACCCCAAAGATATAAATGTAGTGATCCGAAGGGGCATGTACACCCCAATGTTTATAGCAGCAATGTCCACAATAGCCAAACTATGGAAAGAGCCTAGATGTCCATCAACAGATGAATGGATAAAGAAGATGTGGTGTTTATGTACACACACACACACACACACTCACACTGGAATACTATATAGCCATCAAAAAATGAAATCTTGCATTTGCAACAACGTGGATGGAACTAGAGGGTATTATGCTAAGCAAAATAAGTCAATGAGGGAAAGAATTATATGATCTCACTGATATGAGGAATTTGAGAAACAAGACAGAGGATCATAGGGGAAGGGAGGGAAAAATAAAACAAGGCGAAACCAGAGAGGGAAACAGACCATAAGAGACTTAATCTTAGGAAACAAACTGAGGGTTGCTGGAGTGGAGGGGGGTGGTAGGGATGGGGTGGCTGGGTGATGGACATTGGGGAGGGTGAGGGTATGTGCTATGGTGAGCGCTGTGAATTGTGTAAAACTGATGAATCACAGCCATATACCCCTGAAACAAATAATACATTATATGTTAAAAAAAAAGATTAGATTCCGAAGATGGCATTTGCCCATAAGTACATCAGCCGTGAAACGAATTACTGTGGGAAAAGGTTTATTATTTGAGGTAGGACGTACTTGGTTTTAAATTTCTATTCTGCCACTTACGGATGTCATTTACCTTGGGTAAGATATTTAACACCAATTGGATGGTATCTTATAAACCTTTTGTTTGTTTTCGTATGCTATTTGGGGAGTATGTCATAAATTAATTTGATGGAATCCTTAAATTTTTAGTAACTGGCTCCAGTGTGAAAGGAGGTGGCTCAGAATTATCTCAGAAGGACCTTCTTACATTAGAGGTCTGAAGCTTACTCAGCAGAAACTGAAGTTTCAGCCCTAGTGATAGATGACAAATGAAAACGGCCCTTTACGTAATTTGTTTCTCATCCAAAAGCAATTTATGATCTATTTAGAGTAGAATAGAAAACAGAAGATTGGTTCTCTTTATTTTGCAAGTAGAACTTAGGTTCTGAACAACTGACTTACTGCTTATGCCTGAATCTCTTATCAGCTCACCAGGTCAGAACACTCTGGAAGACCTGATAGTTTGAGTGCTGACACCCAAATCCAAAATGTAAGTGTGGCTACATTAAGAAGGTGGCCACGGTGGGTAAGTATCGAATCATGGGATCTCGTGAAAACAGTGATGGTGTCTAACCCCTGTCAGGAGAATCCTACTTAATTCTGTTGGAGAGTGCATCGCAGATCCCTGTCATCCTGGTCCTCAGGCCTTGGGCTAACAGGAAAGACGTTTAACACTACATGTCAGAAACTCCTGGATCATCCCACATAACATTATCTTATTTGATCCTCATATAATTTCCCTGTGAAGTACTTTGTGCTGTCCCCATTCCTCATTCCTCAAACACCCAACTTTGCCCCCCTGTCAGCTTCTCTAGCTCCTGTTCCCACCTGGGATGCTTTTATTTCTCCTCTTTGCCTTAGAGTCCTGCTCGTCCTTCAGAGCTCATCTAAGATGTTACAACCTCAAGGAAGCCTTCCTAACCCCCTAGCTCTGATTCTCCACTGCACACTGTAGTCACTGTATCTCAATAAGCACAAGAAATTCTGGGATTAGTCATGTAATATCTGCTGTGCATGCTGAAACGTAAGCTCCATGAGGACAAGCTGTGTCTGTGTCATTTTCCTGTGCTATTTGTAGTGCCAGGCATCGTTCCTTACCCACAAACAGTACCTAAAACGTCGGACTGTGGCACACAAATGCCATCTATCAGGAATTGAATGCTTGTCTATTGTAACTTCAGAACCTTCTTGAAGTTACACCAGACACAGAACCTAACAGGAAGTATTTCTGAATGAAATTGCCCAAGAAACTCTTCCTCAATTCTATTTCAGTTATAAATTGACTAACAATAAAAATTATTCATTAATCTTAGGTACTGGCTAGGGTGTGGTTCTGAGAAAAGGAACTAAGAGTCTTCAAAAAGTCTTCCCAGTCTGTGTAGGTGAGCTCTTCAGAGAAGTCCCATGTTTCTGACAGCTAGTTTTGAAAAAAATTGGTGGGACAGACTCTAGGACTACACGTCCCACTAGGAAACTTTACAAAGTACAAACGTAGATGCATCTGGTTTACCAGTATTTCTGACTTCCTGCTGAACTGAAAACTGCTTGTTTTGTGGAAAAGCAAAAACTCTGCAGCAAGCATCGAAAATGAAGAGGCCCCGAACTTTTGAGGAGCAAACGGAATGCATCGTGGACACTTTACTTACAGACTTCTTAGGCACCACAGTGCAAGTTGCTAACCGGGACCTACATTATGGAGATGAAGTAGATTCAGGTAAGGCTCCTGGCCCGAGGTGGTGATTGTAGGTCAATAAGAGTATCTGAGTATGCTTTCTTATTTCCTCTTAAGTTTCAAAAGGCAAACTAAGCTTTCAGCAATACCTGAAAATCAGTAGTTTCCATGGAAGGGAAAGATATTCTCAGTGAAGGGAGATCTTCTGCCTATGGGGTTGACAGAATAATGAAGGTGTTCTTGGGACAAAATGATGCCAAAATTGTTTAAAAGTCTAGAGAACGTTCTCCGATGCCCAGATTCCTGGGACTGGCCGTCCTTTCAAGTTCTGTAATAAATGTGAATGTGTTCCCTCCATCTTAGGAGAGTCTTGCTCTTTTGACGTGGCCATCATTGCTGGCCGCCTTAGGATGTTGGGTGACCAGTTCAATGGAGAATTGGAAGCTTCTGCCAAAAATGTCATTGCAGAAACCGTTCAGGGACAGGTAAAGTTGCTGCTGTTTTTCTATTCCAGATGCTCTTTTCTTACCACTCTTATATGGCTGTAACTAAAAATGTCCTGCAAAAGATTTGGGGGCTTATGTTCATCCAAGGAGACACAGCAATAATTCTCCGATTGCTAATTCTTCAGGAGTTAATCAAAGGCCCAAGTGGTATTGAGAGGTACTGGCAAGGGCTGGTCAACCTTCAGATTGTTCCCATTTGTTTTTCAGCAGAGCTGTGCTTACGTGACATAGAGCACATCTGCAGCACTTTGTTCTTGGTAAAGCACTTTATTCTTTTATGTACCTGTTTTAACATTGATTTGGCTGGGAGTGGGCATCTTCCCCTCACATCCCCCCCAAGGTCCAGCAATGAAATTATGTACCAGAAAGGCAGGAAGTCCACAAGTATGCTGCAATGAGGGATAAGTACTTACAACAGCCATCTAGGGCATAGCTGGCTTTTCATCAGAATGTTGATTACTGGCAGTGGCACTTGGATTCTGCCTTGGATGTAATGACCGTAGGCGACATTCTAGAAGATGTTGCTGATTAATATCGATAATGGCAGGTAATATGAACACATCACTTAACAGGTGCCAAACAGTATTACAAATACTTTGCACTTATTATCTCATTTAAACCTTCCACCACTGCCTGGCGTATTATAGGAACTGTTATTCACAGGGCATCCTCATCTTCCTGTGTATGGAATGCTGTGAGAGCAAACATCTAACCTCTTTGTTCACTGCAGTATTCACACAACCCAGAATAGTACCTCCTATACGGGAGACCCTCCATAAATATTTTCTGACTCAATATCCATTTAAGCAGATAGGGAAACTGAGGAAGAGGGAAACAAGAAATTAGGTTAGATTACTCAGTTAGGATTTGAACCCAGACTGATTCCAGAACCACACTCTTCACCATTATGCTTTGTTCTTCTTACCACATATAGCTTGGATGGTGCGCCTATTCAGGCAGAACTGGACTTATTATTCCTGATAGCTTGCACTGAAACTTTCCTAGGTAGCCGAGAGCTGAATTTACTTTTGTTTTTTAATTAAAAATAAAGTTTTTGGAACTCCCAAATTCATAGGAAAGTTGCACATAATTAATTGTACAAAGAATTTCCCTCTTGAATCATCTGAGAGTAGGTAGCTGATAAGATGTTCCATCATCCCCTAATACTTTCACATTTCCTTCAAACAAGGCCGTTCTTTTATATAACCACATCAAAACTAGGAAATCAGCACTGACACATTATCATCTTGTCCTCAGATCCTGTTGAAGTTTTGCCAGTTGTCTCAGTGATGTCACATACAACAAAAAGATCCAGGCCAGAATCAGATCCTGCATTTAGTTGTCATGTCTCTTTAGTCTCCTTCAACCTGGAATTGTTCCTCAGTCTTTCCTTGATTTTTTTGACCTTGACGCTCAAAGATTACGGGTCAGTTATTTTGTAGAATGTCCCTTAAGCTTGGGTTTGTTCCATGTTTCCTCATGAGTGGATTCAGGGTATGTACTTTTGGTAGGAAGGATTGCTGTGTTCTCATTGCTCCTATTAAGTGGCACAAATTTTAATTTGTCACATTACTGATGTTAACTTCGATCACTTAGGATGGTGTTTGCAAGTCTTCTCCACTGTAGTTAATATCTGTGGTTAACATAATTAAGTGTTGTGGGGGGGTACTTTGAAACCATGTAAATATCCCATATCCCATCAACATTTCAATCTATTCATTTGCAACATGGACTCATGAATTCCTACTTTTTTCAAGGGTTATAATCTGTTACTATCATTATTTGGATGCTCAAATTGTCCCAGTTTTGACCAGTGGGAGTCCTCTCCATCTGGACTGTGTCTTTTTAGCATGTCCCTGTCATTCCGTGAGTACTTCCTTAATTTCTGACAGATCTCTTATATTTTCCAAGCCCCAGCCTGAAATCAGCCATTCTCCAGAGAGCTCTGGTATCTTTCAGTGGAGAATGGTATTTGGAAACCAAGATCTGGGTACACATGTGGATGCCCTCTTCAGCTTGTTTGGGTTCTTTAAAAATTTTTTTTAAAGATTTTATTTATTTGACAGAGAGAGAGACAGCCAGAGAGGGAACCCACAAGCAGGGGGAGTGGGAGAGGGAGAAGCAGGCTTCCCTCTGAGCAGGGAGCCCCATGAGGGGCTCGATCCCAGGACCCTGGGATCATGACCTGAGCGGAAGGCAGATGCTTAATGACTGAGCCACCCAGGCGCCCCAGCTTGCTTGGGTTCTGACAACCTGCTCTGACTGCCATGGGTCCCCCTACACTACACCACAGTAGATCTTGCTTGGCCCCACCTAATGACTTCTAGATCAATTTTGGAGGGAAGGAAAGAGGAAGAGGAAAAACAGATCTTTTTTTTTTTTTAACTTTAGAATTTCCCAGACTTCAGTCATTCAAGTAATACCTCTACAGCTTGACCAGCTGTACCATCACATACTTAATATTTTTCTTTCAAATCATTTTGTTTTTCTTTCAACCATTGTGCTCATCCTAAGTAATAATATCTGAACTCATGGGTTTGATGGGCTACTTGTGTTTTTCTCTATACCCATTACAGTAAATAACAAAGTCATAAAACTTGTCCATCTACTCCTTAAGATTACTCCAGATACAACCAGTGGTGCATTTGCCATTCTCTAGGAAACTCTTGCTTTACTGGACTCCTGCACCTGCAGCCTCCTGTACCTTTTTATCAATACCTCACTGATTTCCTGTGTCTCTCCCCAGGCAGGCGCTGTACTGTGGGACACAGTGAAATCTCTCAGCCAGGCCTGGTGTGCTCAGGATTCCAGCTTAGCTTACGAGAGAGCCTTTCTGGCAGTGTCAGTGAAGCTTCTTGAATATGTGGCCCGCATGGCTCCCGAAATGGCAAGACAGGTGGCTGTCCCCATGACAAACATGATCAATGGGAACAGTGCCATCCGGGAGTTTGTCCAGGGCCAGGGAGGTTGGGTGAGTACGTTGGGGCCCCTGGCTTTGATAGGCATTTGCATTGCTTTTGTACTAATACCTGGGACTCCCAATTCCGGATTCTTTCTGTAAGTTGGAAACCAAGTAGAAAAACAGGTTTTCCTACTTTGTTGAAATTGGCAATGTGGGTTTTTTTTTTTCCGCCTGCATGGGAAGGGGAGCGGTCAGAAGCTCAGGGCTATGGGTGTTGGACTCCAGAGACATTTTGCCTAAAATTTTAGTTGACTACTAACAGTGTAGAGCTAAATCCCACTGCCTATATATAACGGCCTATTAAGTGTACTGGTGATAGAGTACTAGTCTCAGCCCAGCTTCAGAAATTCAGAATCATACCCCTGTTGTCTAACAAAAAACAGTGTCGTCTGCTGCAGCGATAACTCTAGGAGGCATTCTAAGCCCATATCTTAGTAATCATTAGAACATCTGCTCTCACTGAGCATTCCTCTTCATTTCCAGCAGCAGCAGAAGCTTCAGTAAGAGCTGCATTCCCTGGAGGTATCTGTAGATTATTTGTGCTTTCTTTAGGAAGCTCCCTTTAGGAAGATGATCCCTTTGATTCTAGGATATTCATTGTCCTTCCTAGGAAAATCTGGAGAGCTGAAGAAGAGGCAGCGCTGTTTCCCAGCCTGAACATCACTGCCACTTTGATCGGGTGATTGATTGCTGGCCATTGACACAGACAACCGAATCCAAAGGTACTTTCTTTTGGACACAACTGGACTTAGCTGAATAATTTCTTTTCCACTGATGGCTAAAGTTGGGAGCAGCCCTCGGAGGTCTACAGAGATTTTGTACTTTCTGTCTTTATGAGAGTTTGAAGGAGGTTCCATTTAAGCAAAGACCTCCAGATACAAAGTAATGGCTTGTTAGGAGTGGAATTTCCAGGCAACAGAGCAAGCCTTCGCTGGATGTATTTTGGGAAAGGGAGCACACAGTAAACTATTCAGATTTAGCCCTGTCCCTTGCTAAGGATCTTGTCTACTCACTCTACAGTCTAAAGGACTTCAAGGGAGATCTTTGTTGGACTCTTGTTATTTTAAGTTGAGGATTTTCTTTTAAATTCCTATCCTAAGTTTTGTGTTAATTTCACCAAAGCAGAATCATTTTATGCATTTTTAGGCTGAAAGCAAAAAAAAAAATGGCAGTTTCTTCATCTGCCCTGCTACTAGAAAGGCCAACAAAAGATAAAACAGTGCATTTTACTGCCACAGGATGCAGGAAGTGCTGGCCCGCATCTAGGAGAGTGGGGCCATCCCACCTTAGATGAAACTAGCTGCGTACCACAGTGTTTTTCAAACCAAAAAGTGGTTTACATACCACTTGTGGACCTTATAAGTTGCTGATTTCCAGGCCCCATCCCTAGAGATTCTGATTCTGTAGGGGGAGGCTGGGGCCTAGCATCCTACCTTTTTAACCAGTTCCACAGGGGGTTCTTGTGCCCATAGAGAACTTGAGAACCCTCACGTTAGAGCAGGGCTTGGCCAAATCGTGTCTGCTGCTTTTTTTGTCGATGGGTTTATTGGCATGCGGCTGCACTCACCGGCCCCCCATCTTGTCCATGCCTGTATGAGCACTGCAAGGGCAGAGTTGAGGAGCCACAGCAGACACCTAATGGCCTGTAAAGTATATTTACTATCTGGCCTTTACAGAAAAGCATGCAGACCTCTGCTTTAAAGCTAAATGAATGTTTCTCTCTGAATAATTTAAATTCTGTTGCAGTCCTAATCATTCGTGCCAAACACAACGGTACGTAGGATAACTCTATCTTTTTTTAGAATTTAGTCTGAGAGTGTTTGTTAGTTCCTGCATAGTCCACACTTTCTCTGGGACTTTGGCAAATCAGAAAGCTCTGGGACGCCTGGGTGGTCAGTCAGTAGAGGGTATACATTTCCCTGGCCCCTACCATAAGTGACTGGAAGTAAAGCCTATGGTATCTATGGCATGTGTATCTTGTAATAATCCTTCATAATCTCCTAGATTAGTAGGCACTCATCAAGCAGAGACTCTTACATTCATAAGCCCCAAGGCTAGACTACTTACCTGACTGTCAAGAAGAAAAGCATTGCTATATCTATTTTTGAAGAGAGGCCTTAATGGTTTGGTTACAGTTTGGCTCAAGTGTAACCACATCCCATCGCTTCAGCCAGCCAGCTATCTGTTTCCCCTAAATGCATAGAAGTAAAGATGTAGCACTGCTACTATATTTTCACTTTTTAAGTTATGCTATTTCCTCTATTCATGGATAAATCACAATAGGTTAGTAATCCCAAATGAGATTTCATGTTTCTCTTAAGTAGGAATTAGCTTTATTTGCTACCAAGTTTGAACAATGTATTCCTTTGTCTCTTACATTACTGTAAATTCAGCATGGTGGATTTTGTGGTATTTTATTTCTTGGGTGAAATCACTATTTTCACTTTGACCAATGCTGTTTTGTTCATGAAATAAAATTATGTCCATGTATTTGAACTAATTCTCAGTAAGTGCCATCTCAATTGAATGATAGAGAAACAGATTGGTGGTTTCCATGGGCAGGGGACGGGAGGTGGGGGAAATAGGTGAAGGTGGGCAAAGAGTATAACCTTCCAGTTATAAGATGAAAAAGTCCTGGGGATGTAATATACATCATGGTAACTATAGGTGACAATATCGTATCATATATTGAAAAGTTGCTAAAAGTAGATTTTTAAAGTTCTCACCACACACACACACACACACACAAAACCACATTATTTTTTTATTTATATATTTTTTAAGATTTCATTTTTTCTAAATAATCTCTACACCCAACATGGGGCTTGAACTCACAACCCTGAGATCAAGAGTCACATGTTCCACCAACTGAGCTGGCCAGGCGCCCCAAAACACATTTTTTAGCTAGGCGAGGTGATAGATGTGTTAACTAACCTTACTGTGGTAATCATTTTGAAATATACACATATAGCAAATCATTACGTTGTACACCATAAACTTATACAGAGTTATATGTCTGTTATATCTCAATAAGCTGACAAAGTAAATGATAAATGTCAGAGGCCGGCACCCTCCTCTTCATCTTTTCTTTTCCCACTTAGCTAGAGAAGCTGCCTGTTTTATCCGATACTGCCAATGAAACATCAGAATATGAATCTGGCTCCAAGTATACGGCAGTGTCTTGAGATTGAGGATACGGTGCCCCTGGGGGTTATGCTAAGTAAATGGGAAAAACAGCTCTGGCTTGTGTTTGTTGCTAGGCCACCCTTTCCTAGGAGAGCTGAAGTGGTGGGGTTGCGGAAGGAAGACATGGGTAGCCCAGAGATTAAGAATACCTTCAGATCGTCTGATTTTAACAATTTGGTTTCACCATAGACTAATCATGTGACACTGGGCCAGTAATCCAATTCCTTTGTGCCTTAGTTTCCACGTCTTAAAATAGAGATGATTTGGTTACTAATTCGTGGGATTGTGACGAAGGAGAAATGAAGCAACACACTGTGTAAAGGGTTTAGCCCAGTTTCTGGAATATTTTAAGCCCTGCACCATTAACAGTTCGGGACTGCTGTGATTCGGTGTTCATACAGTTCTACCTTGACTTTTTTCTCTCCACAGACACCGTCTCTCACAAAGGCAAGCCAACCTTCTGGCTCTACCTCTCGCCTCGATGTGGGTGATTCCCAAGTCTGGCTTAGCTCCCTTCTTCCTAAGTCCACATCCACAAGCTCTAATTCTTCATTTCCCTGTACCGTTCTTACTCCTGTACTTTCCCATACTGCCATGCAGCTAGCTCAAAACCTTAGTCATTCCTCCCTGTTCCCTCTTTCCAGTCTTGCACACACACAATTAGTCTTTCTCATCTATTCCTTCCTTTTGTCCCAATTCTCTGCCTGGACTTTTGGTAAAGCCTCTTAGTTAGGCTGTTAATTGATCATCCTGTTCCAGGCTTGCCCCAGTCCAGTCCATCCGATATACTGCCACCAGATTGACCAAAGCTGTGGTTTCCTTGGCTATTCTTGATTCATTTCTGGATATGGCATAATTCATTTTGAAGTTTTACATACTACTGAAGGAGATGATGAGACTTTCAAAAAATTTATCAGAAGGGGCCATTTCTTAAAAAATATATATATATATATATCGAGAAACATTGTTTTGCCTGCCATTTTTTTAAGATTTTCCAGTGGAACTTTTGAAGGTGATCAGATATGTTCCTTATCTTGATTGTGGTGATGGTTTCATGGCTGTGTACACATTTCAAACTTATCAAACCACGCACTTTGAAGTATGCAGTTTATTGTATGTCAATAGTATCTCAATAAAGTTGTTATTAAAAAAAACAAAAAACCTTTACTGGTTTTCCACTGCCCATCAAATAAAGCCTGACTTTTCAGCCTGGTATTCAAATTCCCCCAAGGGTCTGTCTCCAACTACCCTTTCTAGCCTTTATCAGTCAGGACTCTACAGAACCAAGGCTCCAGTCAGACTGAGCCACTCACTAAGCCACCCAACTCCTACTGTTCTCTTTCTCTCTTTTTTTTTTTT